TGCAAAAATTGTACAAAATTGTGTAAATAGGCAGATGGGTCATATTAAAAGAGGTGGAGATAAAGAAATGTAGCACTAGAAGGTAAAATAAAAAAAGGAGCGAGGAATGATGCTACAGCAGCTAAACAGAAAATTTGTCTATGGGATTGATTATATTAGTCACTTTAATAAGTTGTATCTCTATGCTGATGATGGCACCTCTCATTGACGATGCCGGCGAAACGTCTGAGAATGTTTCCAGCCAATGGTCCAATGCTAGAAATAACGAATATTAGGGCAGAGCACACAGGAGTAGGTACACTCCACAAGGTCTCCCTGACGCTTCGATCAAGTTGCGAGAACAAGGTCAGACAAAACTGCTCTTTTTCGTATATAAGTAGGGTTTCGAGACTACCAGAAAATCATTTATATGAGACATATTCACCCTATTTCGTTTAAGGTGATGAAAGACTGGTAGAATAATTTTCCCACAATGATGAGTAGAGCTGGCGTTTCCATTGAATTCCACATAGCCTTGCCTTCCCAAAAGTTGTTCCCATCCAGGCTGGACTGCAGTTTCGACCTCGCATAAGTCTTATCAACACCCCTAGCGGGAGTCGAACCGTGGCAGTGCAGAATGTGAGATTGAAAAGTTAACCATTCGGCCACATTGCCACAAGTGCCCTTATGTCACAGGGCAGATCTGAATTTCAAGGAAGGCCAGGCCTTTTCCAATACCAAATTCTTTAGTGGGATTGTCGACTACCAGTGCTTCATCAAATTAAACGAAATATGGTAAATACATCTCATAAAATTCATCTTTGTTTTGCCAATTTTAATCGACTCCCTGATCTGCCGCTTATCCATGAAGTCGTCTTATCCGGCAAACGTTGGGATCTAGACCACTCTAACTGGTTTCCAATTGTTCACGAACTTTCCATTTCTAAATGTATAAGCAAATGCAAGCCGTTTTCATGTTCTGACAGCCTCTTATGTATAGGTCGACAAGTCTGCCCCACATAAATACTATCACATGAGTACAAAACATCATAATAGCCTGATTTGCAGAGGGCGTCTGAAGACTCTCTAAAAGAAGGCATGATCGAGGAATGCGTTAGTATTTCTTTATATGAGATGTATTCACCCTATTTCGTCTAAGGTGATGAAGGACTGGTAGTAGAATTTTACCACAATGAAATGAGTTGAGCTGATGTTTCCATTGAATTTTACATAGCCTTGCTTTCACAAAAGTTGTTCTCACTAGGGTGGACTGCAGTTTCGACCTAGCATTGGTCTTATCAACACCCTCAGCGGGAGTCGAACCGCAACAGTGGAGGATGGGAGCTTGACACGCTAACCACTCGGCTACACTGCCACGAGTACCCTTGAGTCACAGGGCATAAA